GAGCTGTAAATTTTCCATATGATTCACCCAGAGTTGCTGACTTCACATTCTTCCTTTTTCTTGTGTAGAATTTGCTAAGAAACCATAGCAAACTTCTTCCCAGGCGCTCCACCACATCGTCAAATAATACTGGTGTTTGTTTGTTGCTTTTCTGTGCCTTGGCTGAGCTCAAGTTTACAGGGTGACTCTTGGCATGCTGTAAAAACTGCTTCCAGTCTGGCCAGAACCACCACCTGCTGCAGGAGCTGGGACTAGATGATCACTTCCAGCTGTACTTCTATCTGAACAGAACCTGGGATCAGGATCCGCTGGGTTGGGGCAGGAGGACGGATCAACCTGTGAAACAATAGTTCAGAACTTCTGCATAATTTCACTGCACTCTATCTATATTCATGCCACCACCTCCCCTACTGCCAGTGCTGCTTCAATATATCTGCAGGTCTGCTGTGTTTTTTGCAATAATGCTTCGCTGTAATATGAGCCAATCACATCGCTGGAAATACATCAGTGACCATTTATCTGCACCAGAAAGCGCCCTTACATAGGAATAACATGGAAATAACTCACTGTATTCACATTCATAGTGAATGTGCCTTAAGAGTTGATAAACCAAAACAGGAACCAAATAGTAAACAAAACAGTGTTATAAATTAAATGCTTAAAAATGTTGCAGTGACAGTTTTCACCTAATTTCTGTTGATTTATCAGCTGAATGCACCCTTTAAACTTTTTTTTCTGGCCATGTAATAAATTTGTTCAATAAAGAGTCTGTACACTAACCTTGATGTTATGAAAAAGGGAAATAATTTCCATGGTAAACACTAGCAGTCAGATAATACAGCTGGACTCTCACCTGAGACACACAATGGAGAATAGAGGCCGTCAGTTTTATCAGACTTTTGGTCATAAATATTCAAATAATTTGTTCCAACCTGTTACAGACGTTGGTTTATCCATGCACCTACTGCATCCAGTTTTGAATATTTAAATGGTGACGTGGTAAAATTCATGTGCTGTTCAGAAATCAGCAAAACAAAGATACCAACAGTTTAGTGGGACAGTTTTCAGCAGAGCATCAAGAAAGGAACATCCCATTTAGTGAGGAGAAAGGAAGCAGAGGAAGGTTTGAGCTCGATCTGTTCTTGCATCCAACATTATTAGAATCTGCTTTATATATTTATTTGTTAAATCTTTATTTATCTAAAGGTCTTTTTAAAATTTGTAAACATGAAACTTTTCAGTTTTTTTGTTTTCTGCTCTGTTTCCTGTTTGGCTTCAGCTCCTCTCCTATCATTGTTTCTCTGTACAGTGGAGGAAGAGCTGCAGGTTTTCAGACCCTGATTTAAAGTACTAAATGCACTGAAAAAACGATCTAGAAATATGTAAATATTTCTGAAATTAAGCATATTTACCCTTACTTTGAGCAGGTAAATGAGATAGTTTGCCAATTTAATGAGTAATTTTACTCTTAGAATAAGATAATTAGATAATATGCAATTGAAATAAGACAATGCAATTGTTTTTTCTTATTTTAAATGTAAATTTTCTTGGTCAATGAGCAAAATGTCTCTTTTATCTCCTAAATTCAAGAAGAAATGTACTTATTTTAAGAAAAAAATGACCTATGTAGATTTACATTTTTTGCAGTGTGTCTTTTTCCTCCAACAGAGAAAAATTCTCTCCAGACAGCAGATATGCAGTGGATTCTGGTTCTGGTCATTCTGATGGGTAAGTTGATATCAAGCCAAACTACACTCACTGGTTTGTGATACATTACAGACTTTAAAAAAAAAAAAAAAAAAAAAAAAAAAAACTTTTATAATGTGTTATCAAGTCTCTTAACTGCAAAGCGCTTCATATTTATTTCATCCACTCAAATGCTGATTGTGTTCAGCTACACTGTAACCACAGCTGCCCTGGAGCAGCCAGAAGCAAAGCCACTGAATCAGCAGTTTTTACCAAGGAGCTCCTGAAATGGAGCAAAGGCTCAAATGGCAACCGGCCTTTAATACAAGACAACCTCCCCTCAGCTACTTCAGCCCTATAAACCGCAAAAAAACTTAACTAAGACCTACTGCAAATGCTGGTGGAGATTTATAATCTAGTGCTAAATACAGCAACATTTTTTATGTTTTCAGGTCAGAGTTGTTTCATCAACTGTCAGCTCTATGAGTATCTCTACATTAATGAGGAAAAGACCTGGACTGAAGCTCAGCAGCACTGCAGAGAGAAACACACTGACCTGGCCACAGTGACTAACATGACAGACATGAAGATACTCAACAGTACCAGAGCAGGATATGAGAGAGAGGCTTGGATTGGTCTGTCTAATCAGACAGCTGTTAACAGAACATGGTACTGGTCTCTGCCTGGAGTGGAGTTCAATGAAAGGGAGACAAAGTGGAAACCAGAAGAACCAAGTGATAAAGGAAATGGAAATGAGAACTGTGGATATTTAAATAATGACCTTACATGGGCAGATACTGGTTGCCATAATACATACCATTTCCTCTGTTATGATGGTGAGAATGATTTACTTTTCTGTAGTTTGTTTATGGGTTGTCAAATTATCCTCTTTGTTTTACTGAGTATTTTGTCTACAAACAAGAAAACATGTAAAGTCAATGTGATGTGAGTTTATCTGTTTACTCCACAGAAACTAATAGAACCCAGAAATACCACTTGATTAGAGAGAAGAAGACCTGGCAGGAAGCTCAGAGTTACTGCAGAGAGAANCACACAGACCTGATCAGTGGAATGAAGCAGCTACAGGATGGAGAAGTGGAGGAAGTGATGAGGTCTGTGGTATCTGGGACATACATATATTTTGGTCTGTTCAGAGACACCTGGAGGTGGTCAGATGGAAGCAGTTTCTCTTTCAGACACTGGAATGACCAGTTAAACAATCAACAAGCCAACACTGGTCGATGTGCTGTGGCTGGGATTGATGATGAAGGCAGATGGAAGACTGACAGATGTGATCAGAAAAAACCCTTCATCTGTTATGATGGTGAGATTTTTTTAGAAATCTCTTCTGATTTTAATATATTATTTATTTTTCTATTATGTATGATTTAGCTCTTGATGGTAATATCAATTTTCAAAAAAGACATTCACACATCAGCATCCATTATTTAAATGAACAATAACAATAATTTATTATTTGAGATAGAAAGAAAACAAATTTGAAAAATGTGTGGATCAAAACGCTCACCTGAAGACAATCACCTACCATAATGAAGCTCTCTTGGTATCAGCATTAGATTATGAGTTCATTACAAGACATGATTGGTAGTAAGGCTGAACAAAGTGAATATCTCTTTATCCAGTGTTGTGATTGTTATTTATTTATTTATTTTTATTCTCCTTTGCACTAACCACCAATATGTAGATAATTCATTTCTGGGTTTAAGTCTTTTCATGACCTTGAAAGCTTTCTTGTGCAGACTCCACTGTTGGAGGATTTTCCTGTAATCATTTTGTAGAAAAGTGTTTATTTTGTATTTGCATAAATGAATCTGTGTGCAAGCTGCAACTCCCTCTTCCTTCTGTGTGAATCCAAGGTAGAAAATCAGTGTATTAATCCTGTTAAATGAGATCAATAGTTAGTCTGTCTCTAATTTGAAAATTGCATCTTTTTAAATTTAAATTATTTAACAAATGCAATGAATTGCCCGGCTCTACAGTAGGTAGGGTAAGGGGGGGCATGGCGGGGTGCAGCTGGGGTGGAGGTGGAGAAGGGTTCACTTGTTACACATCTTATATCAGTATGCTGACAATGCTAAACAGAGCACCTAGTGGTGAAATTTTCTCATTTAAAAGTGTTTTAAACCAAAGCATTTTGTTTGATTAACGTTTTTATCATTGTTTACAAATACTAATTAATAATGCCACTGAACAAGAAATTGTTTATGTCCTCTATGGCAGATAAAGTGATACTAGTCCAAGAAAACAAATCCTGGGAGGATGCCTTAGACTACTGCAGAAAATACCATGTTGACCTGGTCAGCATCACCAACCTAGATGAGCAGAGATGGATCCAGGAGAAAGCCAAGAACGCCTCGACTGATTATGTCTGGATGGGACTGCACTACGCCTGCACTCTGGATTTGTGGTTCTGGGTCAATGACAAATTGGTCAGGTATGAGAACTGGGCCTCAGAGCAACCAATGGATGA